CGCGCGGAGGGAAACTTGGCGACTCCGCCCGGAACGCGATTGGGAGACGGAGGAGGTGGAGCTGCTCCTCGGCGCCCCCTCCTCGCCACCGCGCCGGGACCGGACAGCCCCTTGCCCGCCCTCCCAGGACCCCTCGTGGAGTCCTTGCCTCGCGGCCCGGGGCTCGGGGGGCGCAGGCTCGGGGAAGAGCCGAGGGGGGCCAGCGAGGTTTCTCTGGTAGTAACCGCGGTCGCTCGGCGGGGCTGACAAAGGCGGACCGCGCTCCTCCGCCGCGCGCCCGCGGAGGGGACCCCCGCTCGGTACCCTGACGCAGACGGTGGGTGATGGATGAGCGCGGCTTGGGTCCGAGCGGGCGCGTCCTGAGGGGTGGATCTGGCCGCCCCGCCGTGTGTGTGTGCGCCCGCCCGCGCGCGCACCGTTGCACCCCGAAGTAGTAACTCACCGCTTTGGCAGATCCAGGGAGTGGAGGCGGAGGGCCGAGAGCAAAGGCCAGTTTCCCCCCAATTCTGGAGATGTGGGCTCAAGTATATAGCCCTTCTGTAGACGCAGAGCTGGTTAGACCCTTGGGGGCAGAAGTGGGGGTGAGGGTCATCCCAGGAGGGTCTGGGAGGCGCTTGCTCCAAAGTTAAGCAGCTTCAGAGCCGCGCTGAAGAACGAGGTCGAGTGAAAGGTGGCGTTTCACTTTGGCTGTGATCCTGGGCTGGGCCGAGACCTGGGGAGTGGGCAGAGACCCTGGCCGAGTAAAGGAGGGATGGGAAGCGCGTCTCCGAGGACTGCTGTGACCAGCTCCCTCGGGGGGAAAAAAAAAAGAGATTGATGCCTTGCCCTTGGAGAGGACAGGTTGCCTGGTGAGGGATAGAGGCCCTGCAGCTACCCAACCATGGGGGTTTCCCTGCTGTGAAACCAGAGTTCTTTCAATGCACTAGGAACACCTGCTCTCTGTCCACAGAGCCGCAAACCCTGCCTTCGGGAGGCTTCCGACCAGAGCAGGAGAGCTAGGGAGGCTGAGAGAAAGGTGGCCTGGGTGAGGAGCCTGGGAGGGCCAGGCAGACACCACTGCACGTTTCATGGTCAGAGAAGCCTTGCCTTCGGGTCCCCAAGCAGGCACTCTGAGGCTGTCCGGTGCAGGGGTTAATGGGTGAAGAGGGTGTGGTCATTCCACGCAGTGGGAACAGCCCGTGCAAAGGCACACAGAGGGGTAAGAGGTCTGGGCTTCAGGCACGAAGAGCATGTGTGGAGGAACACGGGCACGGGTGGGCTGCCAGGGGGCGTCGAAACATGTGACCTTTATCTCTCAGGCCTGGGGGAGGGTGCCCCCAACCGCCTTTGCTCAGGGAGGGAGGGCCCATGAGGTGGTGCAGGGCAGTGGGGCTAAACTGCAGGGACCATGAGCTCCTCTGTGACCCGTGGCTGAGTTTAAGCTACAGACCCGTGGCACAGTGCCCAAGACAGGAGAAAATGCCACTGCCTGCCTCCCTCCCCGCTCCAGCGCCCACTCCCACCTGTGGTATGTGGAGAAGGAAGGGTGAGCTGCGGCCTGGCTCGGCTAGGCGCAGCCTCACAGAAGGAATGGTGCTTGAAGAAACCAGGCAGCTTCCTCTGGAGTGGAACCCGTGAGGGCCAGCCCCAAACCTGTCCAGGGACTGCTCTGGCCCCATCCCGTCCTCTTTCTGGGCCCAGTGGTAATTGCACTTTTGGGGAGTGAAGTGGCTGCTTCTTGTGCTCCCAAGAACTCGGGGCATCTCTGAACAAATATCTGTTAGCCGTGGGAAGGAGAAACGGCTGACCTCAATGCGGGGGCCCTCTGCCCTGGGCATGCCCCTGACATCCAGTGGCCCCAGGGGAGCCAGTGGGAATAGTGGAGTGTCTCCGTTGGCCTGTGCCCATCCTTGGGCAGGCCCTGTTCCCCATCTTCCTGGAGGGAGAAACGTCTGTTCTCCCCTCGTCCCTTGGAAACAGGGCGGGGGGGCTCCTGCGCAGCCTGGCCTTGCCACAGCCCTGGGCTTCTCGCTGCGTTTTGGACTCTCTGCCACCCCTGTTCCACCACCCCCCACCCCCCTTGGGTGGCAAACAGAGACGGCCTTGTTCCTGTTCCCATAGAGCTGCCCTGTTCTCTGCACACTAAAAATGGAAACCCCCAAGCTATTTTGGGAGCAGTGCCCAGTCGGGCTGTGGCCACGGCCCCCCTGCTCCATCGGACGGTGGCCTTGGCTCCCCGTTCCCACTGGACTGCCGAAACCTCCTCTAGCGCTCCGCTCTGCCCCTCGGCAGCCTCAGGAGTGCCCTGCCATGGCCTCAGCTGGGATGCGTTGACCTGAGTGGCAGCCTGGCAGCTGGGGGTGGCTGGGCACAGCAGGTGGAGAGGGGGCCTCTCGTGGCCTGAGCTGCGTGGCCTGTGGCAGCACTCCACGGGACCTTGGGGCCTGCAAAGGAGGGCATGTGAGGAGGACAGGCACTTGGGTCTTTCCAGGTCCTGAGGAGGGTAGGCAGGACCAGGCACAGTGACTTCCTCCAGGACGCCCTCTCTGCCCCTCCCCTCTACTTACCCCGCGCCCAGGACCCTGGCTCTGCTCTGGCCTGCAGGAGAGAGACCAGTCAGAGCTGGTCTGGCTTGCACAACCTGGGGGGAGGAGGGGGGCTCGAACCAGTGAGGTGTGATGGAGCGTCATGTGATGTGTACTTCTGCAGAGGGGAGGTGCCCTACTGTAGCTGTGTCAGTGTGGGTGACGTGACTGGGCAGCGTACATGTGAGGTTGCGTTTCTCCAGGTGTGTCTGTGTGGTTGGTGAGCAAATGATTGCTGCACACATCCGTGTGTGTGTGTGTGCGCTCCATGGGAGTGTGTGTGTGCACCCTGGCCCCGTGAGCGCTGGGTATGTGTACATAGAAATCCATGCTGGTGGTGGTTTGGGCTGGGCCCGCCGGCCCTGGGCCTGTGTGGCTGGGAGGCTGGTGCCTTGGTGGGTGGAGAGTGCCGAAAAGAAGGGGCCTTGTGGGAGGGCCCTGTGCTGGGGACCTGACTGGGCCCTGCCACCCACACCGGCTGCCCCTTCCTAGCTGCCCTTTCCCAGGCCCCTCGGGTGCCTGGTTCCGCTGCCCTCTCCCTCCCCCTCCCCATGTGGGCTCTATGGAGGAGGCGTCCCCTGTGGAATGTGTTTGGTGGCTGACGGCCAGGCTGGGCCCAGCTCCACCAGCAGGCTGGGCTGGGCAGCAGGGGGGCATCTTTGAGCTGCCTCCACAGAGGGGCCCAGGGCTCCTGCCTGCCTGCGGCCCAGCCCCAGTGTCATGCTCTGCTTCTTCCTTGGCTAGGTGACTCCCACGCAGGTCATGCCGTTGTCTCCTGACCCAGCTGGCCCTGCCAGGTGAGCCTGACCTCACACCTGGAGCCTGACTCCCACGTAGGCTGGGGAGGCTTTCCAAAGTGGGGACCTGCCTGCGGGCCCCCAGCCAGCCAGCCAGCTGTAGCCTCCCTCTCCTCTCTGTGGTTGTTACCCTAAACGCCTTTCACCCAACTCCTGGCCAGCCCTGCCATACAGGTGCTTCATGGGGCCACATCCTCCCCCTTCCTGACAGAAAGTCAACCTTGGTGGGTAGGCTGTTCCTTCCCAGCATCCCGCCTCCTTCCAGTTCTGGCCTTTGGGGATGGGATGTTTCCCAAGTCTGCCCCCCCTTAGCCCCTCTCCCCCTGACAACCCAGGGCTGTCAAGGAGAAGGCAGGGTGAGTCACAGGTCCCCTGACAGAATGGGATTTGCAGAAAGGGAGTAGCATTGGAGTTTGCAAGCAAGACTCATGTGTGTTTCTGCCCCCTGGCTCCCGTCGCACTGCCCTGGGGTAGGGGGCATGGATGCTTGGTGGGTGCGCCCAGAGCCCACAGTCCTGCCCTTCACCGGTGGCCCGATACACTCTGGTGGTCTCTCTCCCTGCCAGGTGACCATGATGACACTCGGCCCAGTTCTTCTCCACGTGCTCTGGGCCGGGTGGGCCCTCACCCTCCAGCCCCCAGCCCCGGCCGCCTTCACCCCCAATAACACGCAGCTGCAGCACTTGGCAAGGGACCCTGCCTCAGGCACCCTCTACCTTGGGGCCACCAACTTCCTGTTCCAGCTAAGCCCAGGCCTGCAGCTGGAGGCTGCAGTATCCACTGGCCCTGTGCTGGACAGCAGGGACTGCCTGCCTCCCATCATGCCCGACGAGTGCCCCCAGGCCCAGCCTACCAACAACCCAAACCAATTGCTCTTGGTGAGCCCAGGGGCCCTGGTGGTGTGCGGGAGCGTGCACCAGGGTGTCTGTGAGCAGCGGCGCCTCGGGCAGCTGGGGCAGCTGCTACTGCGTCTGGAGAGGCCAGGGGACACCCAGTACGTAGCCGCCAACGACCCTGCGGTCAGTACAGTAGGGCTGGTGGCCCAGGGCCTAGCTGGGGTTCCCCTCCTGTTTGTGGGGCGCGGATACACCAGCAGGGGCATGGGGGGTGGCATCCCACCCATCACAACCCGGGCCCTGTGGCCCCTGGACCCCCAGGTTGCCTTCTCCTACGAGGAGACGGCCAAGCTGGCCGTGGGCCGCCTGTCAGAGTACAGCCACCACTTCGTGAGCGCCTTCGCTCGCGGCGCCAGCGCCTACTTCCTGTTTCTGCGGCGGGACCTGCAGGCCCAGTCCCGAACTTTCCGGGCATACGTGTCCCGCGTGTGCCTCCGAGACCAGCACTACTACTCCCACGTGGAGCTGCCCCTGGCTTGCCAGGGTGGCCGCTATGGGCTGGTGCAGGCTGCGGCTGTGGCCATGTCTGGGGAGGTGCTCTTCGTAGCCTTCTCTTCTGCTGCCCCGCCTGTGGCGGGCCGGACCACATGGGCGGCCGCAGGGGCCTCGGGAGCCTCTGCCCTCTGTGCCTTCCCCCTGGATGAGGTGGACCGGCTCGCCAACCGCACGAGAGATGCCTGCTACAGCCGCGAGGGCTACTCCGAGGACGGGACCCGCGAGGTGGCCTACATCGAGTACAATGTCAACTCCAACTGCGCGCAGCTGCCCATGGTGAGTTCCCGAGCTGCCCTGCCCTCTCGTCGACGGAGGCCACTGGCCAGACCCTCGAGCAGCTGCCCTGGGGTCTGAAGGGAAGCTGGTGGGGCCAAGTGCCCAGGTCAGCAGATGTTAAGTGTGTCCCCCTGTGCCCGAGGGGCGGAGGGGCTACCTTCTTATCCGAGCGCGGCAGTGAGCAGCCAGTCTCTGATGGGTTTGGGTCAGGTAGTGGAGAAGGGAGTGTCTGCGGAGGCGAACTGAGAGGGTGTCTTGGGTTCAAGGGTATGGGCCAGAGAGAGGCCTTGGAGTGGAGTGGAGTGGAGTGGGACCCACTTCAGGTTGCCACACGAGAACGGAATGTGAGGTTGAGACTTGCAGTGTTGGGATGGACGGAGAAGGGGAGCAGGAAGCAGAAGCCAGTAAGGGATGGACAGGGTCCAGGTGGGTGAGTGTCAGCTGCAGGAGGCTTTGGTGAAGTGGTCCAGGAGAAGACTGAGCTGATAGACTGGACGGAGCCAGTCCCAGGCCAGGGATGTGCGAAAGGGGCAACAGACAGAGGCAGAGAGGCAAAGAAGGAGAGGAAATCGGCTGGCACTGCCCAAGGCAGCTGGAGAGACATCCTGGGAGGCCAGGCTGAAGCTGAGGTTGAGACTGTGGGTGAGGCTGAGACTGGGGTTGTGTCTCTGGCTGTGAGTGGTGGTGTCCAGGGGCAGCATTATGAAGGAGGAGGAGCAGAGAGTCCGGGGGCAGCTGGGAGGTGGTCCCGGGGGGTCCTAAGAGGTGCTGCCTTGCAGGACACACTGGATGCCTACCCCTGTGGCTCAGACCACACGCCCAGCCCCATGGCCAGCCGGGTTCCACTGGAAGCCACACCGGTGCTGGAGTGGCCAGGAGTCCAGCTAACGGCTGTAGCGGTCACCATGGAGGATGGACACACTATTGCTTTCCTGGGTGACAGTCAAGGGCAGCTGCATAGAGTGAGTCCTCAGGAAGCTCTGCCTCCCCCCCCCCCCTTGCCCCCAGCGTCTCCAGGGGAGGAGGAGTAGGGGAGTGGGCTACTGGGAACCTAGCCTCTGACCCCTAGGGCTGCGAGACGTGTGACCTGTGACATTTCTCCCCCGCCACCCGGCAGGACTTGTGCTCCTCTTACAAGCACTGGGTGGCGTATCTGACACCCCCCTCCCAAAGCTGGTTGGGGTGACCTGTGACACGTCCCTCTTCCACCCCAGGCAGGGCCGGGATGTTTGACCTGCTCTCCCAGGGTGAGGACATTTCCCTGTGACTTGTCCTCCAGGGCGGGCTGAGCAGTGCATGGCCAGGAGGACGCTCTCCCTGCCCATTGCTTCCCTGGGTGTTTGTGGGGTGAGCAGGCCTGGGTCCAAGTCCTGTGGCCATAAGACCATGGACTTGCGTCTCAGACCCTGCGGTCTCTAACCTCAGGTTTACTTGGGCCCGGGCAGCGATGGCCACCCATACTCCACGCAGATCATCCAACAAGGGTCTGCGGTGAGCCGAGACCTGACCTTTGATGGCGCAGCTGAGCACCTGTACGTCATGACGCAGAGCACAGTGAGTGCCAGGCCAGCGGGGAGCTGGGGCAGTGGGTGGGGGCCCTGGAGCGGGGCCAGGGGGCCCCAGGGCGGGGGCCCTGCTGGTGTTTGGATGGGTGACATCAGGTCCTCTTTGCTTGTCACAGCTGCTCAAAGTTCCGGTGGCCTCCTGTGCCCAGCACCTGGATTGCGCATCTTGTCTGGCTCAGAGGGACCCATACTGTGGGTGGTGTGTGCTCCTTGGCCGGTCAGTGTCCCACCAGCCCCTGGCCCCTGATCCCAGCCTTATACTCTCAGGGCTCTTGCCTAACTGCCCAGCCTACACCTCAGGATCCTGGGCCCTCTCCTCTCAGCCTCCCCCTCCTCCACCCTGGGTGTTAGTACCTGTCAGGGCAGACACAAGGGGCTGGAGTCCCGGCCCTTGGTGCTCCTGTGAACTCCCAGCGGCCCCTGGGAGGGAGACATTGGGGTGGACGCTGCTCCCTCTCTCTCAGGTGCAGCCGCCGTTCTGAATGCTCGAGGAGCCACGGCCCAGAGCGGTGGCTGTGGAGTTTCCAGCCCGAGCCTGTGTGCCTGCAGGTGACGACCCTGAGTCCTGCCAACATTAGCCGCGAGGAGAGGAAGGAGGTGAGGGGTGGGGCCCTGGGTGGGGAGGGGCCAGGACCATCACGTGCACAAGTCACCTGTGTGAGGACGGTGGTTTCTCCTGTCCCGGATCCAGGCCCAGAGGTGTTTGGGAAGGCGGTGTGTGTGTGGGGGGAGGGGTAGGTGGGGGGGGAGTGGGGTGGCTGGTCGCCACAGGGTCTGCTGAGCCCCCCGCCCGTGCCTGGTGCCCACCAGTGTGCCCTGCGCTCTCTTGTCAGGTTTTCCTGTCGGTGCCAGACCTGCCGCTTCTGCAGCCTGGCGAATCCTATTCCTGCCACTTTGGGGAGCACCGGAGCCCAGCACTGCTGACCGGCTCTGGGGTGACCTGCTCCTCTCCACCCCCTAGTGAGGCTCCAGCACCACCCAGAGGAGCCGGTGTGTGAGAGAAGGTGCCCGGGAGGCCCCTGTGCTCCTGCCCTGCTCCCCAGGGGTGTGGTTGGGATGAAGTGTGGCTTCAGGTGCTTAGCCTTCTCTGGAGTCCACACCGCTCCTAGCCCCCAGCCCCCAGGCTGTACCCCGGGGACTGGGGCCATGGGCCCCCTCCTCAGCCCCTGCCTCCTTTGCAGACCAGGTCTCTGAACGTGGCCACAGGCTCCCCTCCCGTCCCCCCTCCTCAGCCCCTGCTTCCCTTGCAGATCATGTCTCTGTGAGTGTGGAACTGAGGTTTGGCCCCGTCCTGATCGCCGAGGCTGCCCTCTCCTTCTATGACTGCGTGGCTGTCACTGCACTCCGCCCGTCTGCACCGTGAGTGTCCCCTGGCCCTCCGCCCCACCCCACCCCGCCCCTGGGTGGCTCTGGGGCCACCCTGGTCTATTGTCTTGCTCTTCTCGCAGGTGCCAGGCCTGCGTGAGCAGCCGCTGGGGGTGTCACTGGTGTGTCTGGCAGCACCTGTGCACGCACAAGGCCTCCTGCGACACCGGGCCTGTGGTGGTGAGCCAACAGGTGAGCGTGATGGCGGACCAGGCACTGCAGGGGCTCGGGGTGCCCAGTGCAAGGGTTTCTCTGCCGGCTTGGGGGCTGCGGACTTGCCTGCCCGGCCGGCCGAGCAAGCCCAGCTTTGCCCGGACACCCTGGCTGCCGTGTGTGAGACATACTTGCTGGCCAGGGCTGCCCGCCCAAGAGGCCACCTGGATGGGAGAGGACGCTGGCCGCAGAGGCAGGGAGGTCCAGGCCTCGGGCTCTACCTCAGTGCAGATGCCCCCCGTAGAGCCCCCTGTCCCCCCACCTCCAGAGGATTAATGGGCTGTTTTTGTTTCTCTTTCCCTTGATCTCCTTCCCTCTTAACACACCCTGTGCCTGCCTGCTGCCTGCTCCTGTGCCTGCCGCCGAGGCCCCTTCTGTCTCTCTCGGCCTCCCCTTCAGAGCCCGCCTCTCTCTGCAGCCCCTCCCACGGGCCACGGGCCCGTCCCCTTCCCACCCAGATCCACCGTCACCCCAGCTCCCCACGCCCTTCCCGGGACTCCTTCCCCGGCCACTACCTCTGTCACCCTGTCCACAGACAGGCCTTCCTCGCTCAGCCCTGGGGGGCCACATGCAGAGCCCGGCCCCTCCATTGCCCCCACCTCCCCAGAGCCACTTCTCCAGGAGGAGCCCTCCCCTCCAGGTCCCCCCAGCAGATCTTTGACGGCCGCGCCCCCCTCCACTGTCTTTGGACTGAGGGCCACACCCGAGGACCTCCTGGCCCCCCAGCACCCACTGCCCTCGGAATCAACAGCGTTGCCCACGGGCCCCGCAGACCCCGCCACTGAGACCCTCCCCTCTGCCGTACCCCTAGAGCGGCCCCCTGGCACTGCTCCCACCACCACTTTCCCAGGGGCCGCAGGCTCCGCGAGGCCTGCTCTGGACTGGCTAACTCAAGAAGTCGGCGAGCTGCCCGAGGCGGACGAGTGGACGGGGGGTGACACGCCCACCTTCTCCACTTCCACCCTCCTCTCAGGTGATGGAGACTCGGCCGAGCATGAGGGCCCTCCCGCCCCCCTCATCCTCCTGTCCAGCCTCGACTACCAGTACGACACCCCCGGGCTCTGGGAGCCGGTGAGGCCAAGCCCAGGAAGGAGGCCTCCAGGGAGGGTTGCAGCCCCTTGCTGGCCCTGCGGTTCTGGGTCGGTGGCACCGAGGGCAGGGGGTGGGGTGGGGTCCACTGCCGCATGCCGGCCTTGCCCCGGGACTCGACCTGCAGAGGGGCAGGCGCTGGGGCAGGGTGTCCATGGACCGCGTTGCTCTTGGGCCTGCAGGAAGAGGTTGGCTGGGGGGCCGGCGCCTGCCCCTGTGTGGACAGCGTCCAGGGCTCCACGCTATTGCCGGTCCTTGTGGAGCACCAGGTCCGCCTGCTCGGCAGGAACCTGCGTGTTTTCCAGGTCAGTCCGTCCTGCTGGCGGTCTCCCCTGCGCCTCACACACCGGACCAGCCCCGCGGGGAGGAAGCAGGCGTGGTGTCCCGGGTCTCAGTGCCTGCTGGAGGTGGTGGGGGAGGGGACTGGGGGATCTAGCTTCCCCATCAGCAGTGCCCTCTCTCCCCAGGACAGTCCTGGGGAGGTCGAGTGTGTGATGGAGCTGGAGGGCCGAGAGCTGGTGGTGGCAGCCCTGGTGGAGTGTGAGCCGCCCCCCGAGACTCGGTGCCACATCACGTGCCAGCGGCGCCAGGTGCATCCCAGGATGGCATGGTGGGCTGGACAAAGGGTGCTGGCCACGGGCTGGCCGCCCAAGTCAGTTCACGGCACCATGCCTAGCCCTGGTGACTTCTAACCTCCAGACTGTGACCTGACCTGAGCCCCAGTGGTGGGGGTCCCTGTACCTCTGCTCTGCCCTCTGACCCTGTTCCCCTCCCAGCGAATCATTCATTCCCCTCTCTGAGCACCCCGATGTCCCCCAGGCACTAAAGGCTGCCCTTCTCTGCTGCCCTCTCTCCAGCTCAGCTACCAGGCTCTCCAGCCAGAGCTCCATGTCGGGCTGTTTCTGCGCCGGGCCGGCCACCTGCGGGTAGATAGTGCTGACGGGCTGCACGGTGAGCCCCCCAGGGGCCTCGGGACGCACAGAGGCGGTGGCAGGGCCTGCCCAAGCCTGCCTCTCACCCTTGTCTCTGCCAACCCCAGTGGTGCTTTATGACTGCTCCGTGGGACACGGGGACTGCAGCCGCTGCCAAACTGCCACGCCACAATACGGTTGCGTGTGGTGCGAGGGGGAACACGCCCACTGCATGGCCCAGGAGGCCTGTGGAGAGGCTGGGGCTGTGGCCACCCAGTGTCCTGCGCCCCTCATCCACTCGGTGTGTGGAATCGCCGGGCCCCCTCCCCCACGTGGCTGCTTTCTGGGGAAGGGTAGGGTGCTGCGGGCGCCAAGGGCCTGAGGCTGGGGGCCCGGGGTATGCCTGTCCAGGCGGCCGGGGGTGGGAGTTGGGGTGGTTGGCAGCTGGATGGCAGTGAGCAGCCCCTGTCCTGGAACAGGTGGAGCCATTGACGGGGCCTGTGGACGGGGGCACCCGCATCACCATCAGGGGCTCCAACCTCGGCCAGCACGTGCGGGACGTGCAGGACACAGTCAGGGTGGCCGGAGTGCCCTGTGCGGTGGTCACCCAAGAGTATGAGGTCTCCAGCAGGTGAGCAGGCAGGGCACACCCTGTCCAGGGCCCCCCTCACCTGCCCCCATCTGCTGGGCTTTGGTGAGAGATATTGAAGCTCCCCCATTGGGCTCCTGCAGAGACCCACAGGTTCCTAACCTGGATGGCTGCTGTGTGTGTGCGTGTGCGCATGCACATAGGTGCTGACCTAGGATTCTATGGGTATGTAGGGGGTGGGGGTGGGGTCACTCCTGGGCTGGCCGGTGGCCGGGCTACTGCGCAGAGCTGATAGATGGCACTGCCTCCTGGCTCTGTAGGTGCTCAAACCTGGCCTTCACAGCAACCCTCAACACAGCTGTGCTGATAGGTCCTCAGCTGTCCAGCCAGTTGTGCCCAGAGGTTGGGCTTCCCGTGGGCCCTGCCCTGAGCCAGGTGCCACAGGAGTGTGGGCATGTGGTTCACCTACTTAGTGTCACCCTTCCCCATCCGTCCGGGCCCAGGGACCTGGCTGGGTGCCTCCCCGGGGCTCAAAGCGGGTCCCAAGTCAGGCTGAGTCACAGTTACCTGGAGCCCTTGTCCACCGCCAGCTCCGGGCAGGTCCCCAGCGTCCACTGGGACCTGGGTCCAGTTGGCCTTTGAATCTTCCTTTATGGCAAGCAGCGCTGTGCTGGAGCATGTAGCCCCCCACCCCTGGGCCCAGCCCCCACGTGTTTTGACAGGACATGCTGCGTCCCTGGGCTGCTAGTCCTTGGTGAAGTGCTTTACAAAGTGATAAAAGGGTCTTGAGGCTGAAGCTTCCACTGGGAAGTTCACACATCACTCGCCCCGTTTCCCCCAGCGGGGGGTGTGTATGTTGGGGCGGGGCTTAGCCCCCCAGGCTGAATGTCGGGGAGGCACTCGCCCCAGCTCATCCTTTCCCCTCGTGCTTGTCATCCGGTCGGACGAGGTCTTGGGTCTCTCCTTCCCTTGGGGAAATAACACTTAGCCCGTCCGGCGGGTGCCCGTGTGGGATGGTTATGGTGCGGCCAGCCAAGCTCACTCAGCTCAGCGGAGTTCCCCGTCCCCACAGCCAGCCGGATGCGGCGGCGGCTTTGTGAAGCCCTCCTTGCCGGCGGTGGCCTCAGCGGTCACACCTGGGTGATTGAAATCACAAATACCAATTTTCAGAGCGGAGAGCCTGCCCTATGTCCTTTCCTCCAGAATTGTCCGATCTCGTGGACAAACAAGGAGAGGGAGACCAACTGCCCGACTTTCTGGGACTGGGAGTGGGCAGCCAGGACCGTCTGGGGGCTCTGAGTATGGCCTGAGCCCCCCACCCTGCCTTGTCCCCGCAGCCTCGTGTGCACCACCGGGCAGAGCCCGGAGGAGGTGTCAGGCCCTGTGATGGTGGAGGTTCTGGGAAGAGGACACGGCGTCTCTGAGCATGACTTTGCCTACCAGGTACCTCGCTGCTGAGCTGCCCGCTGCTGCGGAGGGGCCACCCCGTCTGGTGGCGCCTCCTACCCTGTCCCATCTCGCTCGCCTTCATAGACTGTCTCCTTGCCTCCCACTATCCCAGGGCCCTCTCGCCTGCCTTGGGGTTCCCTGCCTGCTGGTTTGTGGGCTGACATCTTTTCCATCCCCACAGGACCCAGAGGTGTACTCCATCATCCCCGTCCGTGGCCCCAAAGCTGGGGGCACCCACCTCACCCTGCAGGGCTCGAAGCTTCTGACCGGGCGCCCGCAGGACATCCAAGTGGTGGTTGGAGACCGGCCGTGTCACCTGTGAGAATTGTTACTCTTCTTGTGGAAAGCCCCTATACCCCAGGGGCAGTGGGTCCAGACAGAAAGGGGGAGAGAGTCAGGAGGGCTCTTATCATGCAGGTAGCAGCCAGGCCCCGCCAGGGGCTGGGCAGGGAGCAGAGGCCTGGGGGTCCTGGGTAGATGCTGGATCCCACGTTCCCCTTCCTGGACCCCCCCTCCCCAGGCTGCCGGAGCAGCAGTCTGAGCAGCTGCGCTGTGAGACCAGCCCCCATGCTGTGCCGGCCCAGCTCCCCGTGGCTGTGTGGTTCGGGCCTGCTGAGCGGAGGGTGGGGCACAGCCACTTCCAGTATACATCAGACCCCAACATCACCTCTGCAAACCCCACCAGGAGCTTCCTTAGGTACGTGGCACGGTGTGGCGGGGACCGTGGCACCTCCATGCATGCGGGTTCTGTTAGGGCTTTGCTTGGAGGGGGTCAGGAACCCCCGCACTGCTACTGGGGAGGAAGGGTGCAGTGTGGCTGGCGGCTGGGGCTGGGCCGAGTCAGCCAAGCTGAGCCACAGCTCTTAGCTCCTTGACCATGACCAGTGGCCCCGGGCTGTGTTTCAGTGGCGGGCGAGAGATACGGGTCCGTGGCCAGAACCTGGATGTGGTACAGACCCCGAGGGTCCGAGTGACACTGACCCCCAGAGCTCAACAGCCTGGCCAGGGACTTGGTCGGAGACGCCGCGTGATCCCGGAGCCGGCGTGCCCCCTCGGAGCCTCCTGTGCTGGTCAACACGTAGGACACCCTGGGCACCCCAGCCCACGCTGGGCTAGCTGTCACCTGCCCTCTGCCCTACCCCATGCCTTGTGGACAAACCACGGGCACCAAAGGAGGCTTCCCCACCTTGGTTTGGCTCCCTTGCCTCCCGCTGACCCCCTCTGCTGACCACCCCTCTCCCTGTCTTCCTTCCCTCTGCCCCAGTTTGAGGAGCCATGCTGGGTGAACTCCTCCCAGCTCATCACGTGCCGCACGCCTGCCCTCCCGGGCCTGCCCGAGGGCACCCACGTCCAGGTGGAATTTGTCCTCGACAACCTGGTCTTTGACTTTGCGTCACTGAACCCCATACCTTTCTCCTATGAGGCGGACCCCATCCTGTATCCCCTCAGCCCGGAGGACCCCTCCGTGCCCTTCCGGCATAAGCCTGGGAGTGTGTTCTCTGTGGAGGTACGGCTTCTACCTGGACGTAACGAACCCTGCCCTCTCTGCTTTGCTGGTTGGCTGTGCTGGTGTTAGTGTGTGTGTATGCACGTGCGTACGTGTGTGGTGTGTGTGTGTGCACGTGTATGCGCATATGTGCGTGGGGGGGGGGGCATGGGATGGGTAGAGCAAGGGCCCCTGGCTGGATGTGATGCCTTATCTTCCCTGTAGGGTATGTGGTAAGGGCTGGAGGGAGTTGGTTACCCCAGGTAGTGGCCTGCGTCTCAACAGGCGTGCAGGCAGCCGTGTGCACGTGCAGTCAGTCGGTAGGTAACACGGCTGCTGCCCACTAGCAGCAGCACCCATGTTCTGACAGCTGCACTACTAGGTGGACCATCAGGCAACAAGTAAGGGTGCTGACTGTGGTCAGACTGCGAGGGCAATTGTTCCAGAACAGGGTCTCCAGATAAGACAGACCCCTGGGAGGACAGGGAAGCGTCATGGGAGGGGCATGAGGACTACTTGTGATTGTCGACCCCACGTCGGGTCAGCCCTGCTCCTGGTGAGGTGACCAGGAGCACCCTTCTTCATGGGGGGGGGCAGGGTCTGCGGGGCCACCTGCTCCTCCTCTTGGGCCGGTCAGCCACGTGCCACGTTCTAGGGCAGGGGTTCTCAACCTTTCTGATGCCACGACCCTTTCATACAGTTCATGTGGTGGGCACCCCGCAACCCTAAAATTATTTTCGTTGCTACTTCATAACTGTCATTTTGCTACTGTGATGAGTTGGGTGATCCCTGTGAAAGTCATCCGACCTCCAAAGGGGTCGCGACCCACAGGTTGAGAACCGCTGTTCTAGGGGGAGAATCTGGACCTTGCGATGTTTAAGGAGGAGGTGGTGGCCATGATTGGGGACGGCATCTGCGTGGTGAAGACCCTGACCCGGCACCACCTGTACTGCGAGCCCCCCGCGGAGCAGCCCCTGCCCCGCCACCATGCCGCCCGTGAGGTCTCCGATGCTCTGCCGGAGTTCACGGTTGGTGGGCAGCCTGTGGGCTGGGCTGGACGGTAGGCTCTCGCCTGGCCCACACTCAAGGCTGACCGCCCACCTGCCACGCAGGTGCAGATGGGGAACTTGCACTTCTCCCTGGGCCGCGTGCAATACGACAGCGAGAGCCCCGCGACCTTCCCGGTGGCAGCCCAGGTGGGCCTGGGGGTGGGTACCTCTCTGCTGGCTCTGGGTGTCCTCATCATCGTCCTCATGTACAGGTGGGTGCAGCTCAAGGTGGCCGAGCTGGGTGGGGCAGTGGCAGGCGTGTGGTTGGGAAAGGGCAGCCTGCACCAGGGGGCCAGCAGACTGGTTCAAATGCCAGAGACTAGATGGGTCTCATAGCTCTCTGGAGCCGCGGGGGGCAGGGGTGGGGGTGCAGGTGGTTTTGCTGCAATTAGGAAAGTCTCACTGTTGCAGGGCAAAAGCAGCCGAGTGCCCACGAGTTTTTATCAGCCCAGACGGGCTGTGGGCCAGATGGGGCCTGGTTGTAGTTTGCTGACAACCCTCCTCCTCGTGCGACTGTACTCGGCTAGCCCCGGGCGTGGGTCGGCGGGACGGGCTGCCTTGTCTCCGGCTGGGCAGGATTCAGACAGGGCATGGCCCGGCCAACCAGCGTGGGCTCTGTCTCCCCGGCCTTCCCCTCCCGACGGCGATGGCGCCGAGCAGGAGGAAGAGCAAGCAGGCGCTGAGGGACTACAAGAAGGTGCAGATCCAGCTGGAGAACCTGGAGAGCAGCGTGCGGGACCGCTGCAAGAAGGAGTTCACAGGTGAGGCCCCGGCCGGCGGCCCTCGCGTGCGCCTGCGCGCCTCGTACGCACGTGCGCGCGAGCTTGCTCCTTGTGCTCGCTCCACCTCTTTTGCCCCGCAGACCTCATGACCGAGATGACCGATCTCACCAGCGACCTCCTGGGCAGCGGCATCCCCTTCCTCGACTACAAGCTGTACGCCGAGCGGGTCTTCTTCCCCGGGCACCGGGAGTCGCCCTTGCGCCGCGACCTGGGGGTGCCCGAGAGCAGGCGGCCCACCGTGGAGCAAGGGCTGGGGCAGCTCTCCAACCTGCTCAACAGCAAGCTCTTCCTCACCAAGGTGCCCCTGCCCGCCCGCGCCAATGGAACCCCTGACTGGGCCCTTCCGGCGCCCCACCCTGCCCCCCTTTCTGCCCCACCGGTTCTCACTCTGCTCCCCACCTTCCTCCCCGGGCCCAGTTCATTCACACGCTGGAGAGCCAGCGTACCTTCTCGGCGAGGGACCGGGCCTACGTGGCGTCCCTGCTCACGGTGGCACTGCACGGGAAGCTGGAGTACTTCACCGACATCCTCCGCACCCTGCTCAGTGACCTGGTGGCCCAGTACGTGGCCAAGAACCCCAAGCTGATGCTGCGCAGGTCTGGGGGCTATGTGGCTGTGGGGGGCTGTGGGGTGTATGTGTGCCAGGCCTGGGCAGGCTGTGGGGGTCGGGAGCTGGGAGCTGAATCCGGGGCCTCTGGGAGTGTTGGAGCCTGCAGACCAGGGTGTACCCCAGCCCCTCGTGACCTCCCCCTCCTTGCCATCCCAGGACTGAGACCGTGGTGGAGAAGCTGCTCACCAACTGGATGTCCATTTGTCTTTACACCTTCGTGAGGGTGAGTAGGCGGGGGTGGGCGCCCCCATTCCCTAGGGAGGGCCTCTGCCACCCGACTCCCCTTTCCCTGAGACCGATGGGCCCAGGCCTGCCAGCATGTCCCCAGTCACCTTAGCCTCTGCAGCCTGGGTCCTGCTCTCTTCCCCACGGTGTGGTGCATCCTGCACACCTGTGTCCTGTAACCTTCCTGGGGGACCCCCTCACCGCTTGCCACCCTCTCAGGATTCTGTAGGGGAGCCTCTGTACATGCTGTTCCGAGGAATTAAGCACCAAGTGGACAAGGGGCCGGTGGACAGCGTGACTGGCAAGGCCAAGTACACCCTGAACGATAACCGCTTGCTCCGGGAGGACGTGGAGTACCGCCCCCTGGTGAGGGTCTGAGTGCATGCACACACGTGCGCACATGCACAGACATGTGTGCTGGGCAGGCGGTCTCGGCCGAGGGCCCTGAGCATCAGGTCGTGCGGTCAGGGCAGCAGCCCTCAGTGGAGGTCACCCTCTGGGTTTGGCGTGAGAGGAAGGAGGTGAAGGTCCATTGCTGGGGGGACAGCGACGGGACACCTGGCTGGCCCGCTCCTGTTTGGCGCGGTTTTGCTGGATGACCTAGCATGGTCAGACCTGGGCCCCAGTGCGTCCTGTTCGTTTGATCTTCGCAGGAGCCCAAGGGCTTCCCTGTCGCAGGTGATACTAATAGACAAACACACCGAGGTTCGTAGAGCTTTCTGGTTGAACGCACGCTAGTTAATAAGTAGACAAGGTCTGAATGCAGGTTTCTCTTGGCTGCCGTGCTGGGCTGCGTTCTCTGTGTGCAGTGTCCCCAAAGTCATGGGTGGGCAGGCAAGGCATTGATAGACCTTGGGGAGGGCTCTGTCCCCTGGGAAGGCCCTGGAGTTTTATTTTTTTAGATTTCATAGCATTTTTTTTTCCCTTTTAAAAATCGTTTTATTGGGGGCTTGTACAACTCTTATCACAATACATACTCCATTGTGTCAAGCACATCTGCATACCTGTTGCCACCATTCCCAAAACATTCCTTCTACTTGAGCCCCTGGTATCAGCTCCTCATTTTCCCCCTCCCTCCCCGCGCCCCCTCGTACACGAGCCCTTGATAATTGATAAATTGTTACTGCCTTGTCATGCCTTAAGCTGTCCGAAGTCTCTCTTCACCAACTTTTCTGTTGTCTATCTCCCAGGGAGGGGGTTCTATGTAGATAGATCCTTGTGATCAGTTCCCCCTTTCTCCTCTGCCTTAGCCTTACCCTCCTGATAGTGCTACTCTCATTATTGGTCCTGAGGGGTTTATCTGTCCCCTGGGAAGGCCCTGGATTTTGACCGCCCTAGAAAGAGCCCAGGAGGTGGCATGTTGCCTGGGGAAGAGGGAAGGGCCGCGTGCTCCGGGCCAGTTTCTAGTTTCTGGGGATAAAGCCAGCTTGTCCCGTGGGCCCTGGAGATCAACTTTTAGCAGGGCTTGAGGGCCAGGCCTTATGGCTGTGGCATCAAAGGGTGGTCAGCCTTGGGACAGAGTGAGGCTGGCCACGGCCAGGGTCTGCTGGGGAGGAGGCAGTCCTGCTTAGACCAGTCCAAGTGTCTGCTGTGTTGGGGGCCACGTCACCATCTCGGTATCTGGCCAGGGGAGTACCTTGTTTATCACTCTGGGGGCTCGGGAGCCAACCTGCACATCACTCTCCCCTGGGGTGCTTCTCCTTGGTTACACAGTCACTCTCCCCTGGGGTGCTTCTCCTTGGTTACACATGGCAAGTTCCTGCAGGAAAACCTCCTGCAGTCTCCCCTGGCCTCCTCCCCTATTTGATTGGGGCGGGTGGGCTGGAATCCTTGCTGCTTAGGCGCGCGTGTGTGTGTGTGTGTGTGTGTGTGTGTGTGTGTGTAGAGGTGGGCTAGTGTGGTGTGAAGAACTGGGTCACAAAGCACAGGGGGCTGCCCGTCCCGGGGTGGAGAGGCAGCGAATGGCCCTGGGAGGCCGGGGCTGGACGGGAGGTCGCGGCCCCCCTGTGGGTCGTGCCTGCCCTCGGCCCTGCGTCCTCATCCCTCATTGTCCTGAGTGTGACCAGGCCCCTGATGGCTCCTGTGTGTCCCATGCAGACCTTGAATGCCCTGTTGGCCGTGGGTCCTGGGGCAGGAGAGGCCCCGGGCACGCCCGTGAAGGTCCTAGACTGTGACACCATTGCCCAGGCCAAGGAGAAGATGCTGGAGCAGCTCTACAAAGGGGTGCCTCTCGCCCAGCGCCCAGACCCCCGCACCCTGGATGTGGGTGAGGCTGTGGGGGTGCCGGCCAGGGGAGCAGCCTTGCCGTGGGGGTGGGGCTGGCTGGCTCAGGACACCTCTGTAGGGGGACAGACGAGCGGATCTCGGCTGGGGAAGGACCCCAGGCCTTGGCCTTGGTGGGGGTGGGGACTTTTGGGTTGGGGGCGGCCACTGATGGAGGGCCGGCGTACTAGAGGAGAGAGTCTGGCTGTGGGCAGGAAGTCCTGGACACCTGGGCCAAGGTTCATCATGTTGCTTTTACAGAGTGGCGGTCCGGGGTGGCCGGCCACCTCATTCTCTCTGACGAGGACGTCACATCCGAGGTCCAGGGTCTGTGGCGGCGCCTGAATACCCTGCAGCACTATAAGGTGAGAGAGGGTTGGGGGTCTCGTGGGGGCTGGCAGAGGGGGCAGGCAGAGGAGTCATTGGCTGTGCCCAGCAGGTCCCGGATGGAGCAACTGTGGCCCTGGTGCCCTGCCTCACCAAACATGTTCTCCGAGAAAACCAGGATTACGTCCCTGGAGAGAGTGAGTACCCCCGCCCCCATCGCCACCCTCCTGCCTTTGCGCGCCCACCCTCACCTGCATGCCCCCCCTCCTCGCCAGGAAAGCAGCTTGTCTGCCATGCTGCGGGAGCGGGCTCAGGCGTCACTCTGGGCAACCTATTCTGCACCTCACTCTCAACCCCTGGTTGGCTTTTCCGCAGTCAGCTGTAACGCATTCTCGAGAGATTTCGTCTCCACGAAATCTCCTCTGTCGGAATGGGGCCTGGGGTCTCGGGACATTCAGCTTGGTGGGTCCCCAAAGGCCCCAGGGAGGTGGCATCTGGTGAGGGTGGGCTTCCTGCACAGGGACCCCGATGTTGGAGGATGTCGACGAGGGAGGCGTCCGACCCTGGCACCTGGTGAAGCCAAGTGAGGAGCCCGAGCCCCCCAGGCCTCGGAGGGGCAGCCTGCGAGGCGGGGACCGCGAGCGAGCCAAGGCCATCCCTGAGATCTACCTGACCCGCCTGCTGTCCATGAAGGTCAGGCTGGTGGTGGGGCCAGGGGGATGACTGGGCGGGGCTTGGTGCTCCCTGCCCCCTTCCCCACCTGCCTGCCGCCAGCCAAGGCTGGGCTGGTGCTGCAGGGTCCCCTTCTCAGGGCAGTGCTTCCACGCCTCTCCCGCAGGGCACCCTGCAGAAATTCGTGGACGACCTGTTCCAAGTGATCCTCAGCACCAGCCGACCCGTTCCCCTCGCCGTGAAGTACTTCTTTGACCTCTTGGACGACCAGGCCCAGCAGCATGGCATCTCCGACCAGGACACCGTGCACATCTGGAAGACCAACAGGTGGGGTCGGGGTGGGGCCGGCGGGGCTGCAGACCCCCGTGGGAGCCATTTCAGCCCCATCCCCGGCCCCACTCACTGGCCACCTCCCCCTGCACCCCACCCACAGCCTGCCGCTGAGGTTCTGGATCAATATCATCAAAAACCCGCAGTTCGTGTTCGACGTGCAGACATCGGACAACATGGACGCCGTGCTCCTGGTCATTGCGCAGACCTTCATGGACGCCTGCACCCTGGCCGACCACAAGCTGGGCCGGGTGAGCAGGCTCCGGGGGGCGCACGGGGGCACGGTGCCCAGCGTAGCCGCCTGGCTGGGGTGGGGGTGGGGGTGCTCCTGGGGACGTGGACTGCCCGTGCAGCGAGGGTGGCCTGGGTCTGCAGTGCTGGCGGACTGGAGGTGTGAGGCTCTCCCAGAGGCTGGAGTCTGAGCACCCTGGTGGCCGTGCCATGGGTGATGTAGAAGAGGCTGAGCCCCAAGAGGAGGTAGTATCAGTCCTTGGGCGAGCAGGGTGTGTGTGTGGGGGGGGGGAACACCAGGTAGGGGGCGGGGACAACAGGCTGGTTGGATCCGCCCACCGTGCTGAAGCGTGGCCCATGAGCGCTGAGGAAAGGAGGACTTGTGCCCCATCCTGGCCTCGGGTTTCAGTGAGCTGAAGCTTGGGGCCGTGAGCCTGGGCTGCCAGGGGGCATGCCAGGCTGTTTGCAGGGGTCGTGGCTCCACAAGCCCAGGGCAGCTCTGAGCCGGGGGGCGTGGCCAAAGCCAATGTCCTTCTGGCTCCACCCCTGCCCATCCATGAGTGGGGCTATACTTAGCTCAGACCCTGCTGGCCTGTGGCCTCTTCAGAGCCATGTCTCTTGTCCGCTGAGAGGAAGCACAGAAGGAGAAGAGTTAAGTTCTATGCTGTAGCACAGCCTCCAGGGAACCACTTCCGTTCCATGTGCACTGAACACTCCACGATGAGCAGAGAGCCCCAGGGCCACCTGGGCCGCCTGTGGGTGGGGTGCTGAATAGTTGCTGGGTGTTCGCCCGTTCTCTGTGCCTCGGCAGAACAGCAGATGGCTCTGGAGAGGGTGCCCCGGAGAGAGCGGGTGACAAAGCGCAGCCCAGCCCGGCTGCTGCCACCCCTGAGATATCACGTCCCCATCCCAGCAGCTTGAGGAGAGAGCTGCAGATCTAGAGAAGCAAAGGTGGCCACCCAGGGCCACGGGGATAGAGGGGATGGGGGGCCGGGGGCAGGTCCAGGGTTTGAACCCAGGTCTGTGGGAGATGCTGCACCGGGGTGTCTGAGAGACCTGCCTCCGTTGCAGCCCAGCTGCTCAGGAGGGGGAGGGGATCTGGGGCATTTACTGCATTGTCTGGATCACCCTTTCCTCATTTTTAAAAGGATTATGTGGGATTAAGCGGGGAGGCACCTGGAGCGGCAGTGTTAGGGCTCCGAACGGCCTGCTTTGCACCCTCCCTGCCCTGCGGGTGCTTCCCACAGCCCGCCCTGCTTGGGAGGCACAGGGAGCTGAGCACTGGCCTGGGGTTCGCTGCGAGGAGCTCAAAGTTCCTCCCCAGAACTTGCACACTGGAGGAAGGGAGAGAGCAGGGAGGACCTGGCAGAAGGAAACGGGGCCTAGGGTGACCGGCTGTCCCCATGCACTGGGACCAGGGGGCACTCGCCAGTCTTCACACAGAAGCAGTGCTGGGAACCAAGGGGCCTCTCGCTCGTGTTTCTAGGACTCACCCATCAACAAGCTGCTCTACGCCCGAGACATTCCCCGGTACAAACAGATGGTGGAAAGGTACTGGCATCCTGGGGTAGGGTTTGGTGGATGTGGCAGCTGCGGCCCAGAGGTGGGCACTGGGGGTGGGGCTGTGCTTACCTGGTCCCTGCGTCCCCTGTGGTCTCTGCCAGGTACTATGCAGACATCAGACAGGCCATCCCAGCCAGTGACCAAGAAATGAACTCCATCCTGGCCGAGCTGTCCCGGGTAAGGCTCTCTGGCTTCCCATGGGAGGGCCCTGTTGCTTTTGCGTCACTGCTCTGCAGGGAGGCCCTTGGGCACTCAGCAGCCCTGTGAGCTGGCTGGGGAGGGAGAGATGCTACTGTGACATGTGCTAAGCGTCCCATCTGCCACTGTCAAGGAACAAGGACTCCAGGCATCTCAGCACAGAGCCCAAAGGGGCAGGTCCTGCTCATGGCCACCTGATATGGCGCCGGGCTCCACTCTATGCAGCCCTGCTTGGGGCATGGAGACAGAGAGCTAAGGTAGAGCAGAGGCTGGGATTCAGCCCCAAGTCTGTGGGTCTTGGGGACCCATGCCTTCCTGCTGCCGGCCTCCCTTAGTGCCGTATTCATGTCCCCACCTCCTAAAACACCACTAGGTCAAACACACTGCCATCTTGCCAACTTCAGCTTAGAACAACCCTACCGGGTGGAGTAGACTTGTCCCTGTGGGTTTCTGAGACTGTGCCTGTTAGGGGAGTAGAAAGCCTTATCTTTCTCTCCCGGGGAGCAGTTGATGGTTTCAAACCACTGATCTTGCCTCTGGCAGTCCACCACCTATGGCACTCCACCACCAGGGCTCCTGCCTTTTGAAACGTCTTACAATGTCAACTCAGGGAACACGATGAACCAGGCTTCTGAGTGACCATGGCAAGCACAGTCACGACGCTGCTGGCACTTAGGATCCGAGGGCGCTGCTGCGTGTTGGTCCCTTCGTGGGGTGCTCCGAGGACCTTACTGGGTCCCCACAAGAGCTCCACAGGCTAAATGGTGCCAACTCCCACGTCCACATGAGGAAGTCCGGGCTTGTCAGCATCTTGCCCTGGACCTGGGACATCAATGCGTTCGATGAGAGCAAGACGGTGCGGTGGGTGAGGAGGGGTGGGGGCACGGCCTGAGTGTGGCATCTGGACTGCTGGGTTCTGCACTGCTCTGAAGGTGGTCACCAGGTGGGTCCCTGTGAATACCTCTGGTCCTGTTGCTCTGCCCACCTCACTTTGCCCCTTCCATGCCCCCACTTCTCTTGGTGGGAGGCAAGCAGGTGGATTGGGCCATCTCTATGTCTGGGCACCAGGAAATTGCAGACCGGAGGTCACTCCCGGCCGAGGCGCTGGTCTCCGTTCCCGGTGCTGCTATAACGAGACACTGCAAGGCTTTCAAGAGCAGAAAGCCATTTCCCCACAACAGTGCAGGAAGCAAGCGGTCTGAATTCAGGGCACCGGCTGGGGCAGGGGCAGGCGCTCGGCCGTCTCTGGGGGAAGATCTTTTGTCAGCGTCTGCGGGCCCAGTGCTGTCCTTGGGAGCCGGGTTTCAGTTCCCTGCTGCCCGTTCTCTGCCTGGCAGCTCGTTGTCCCCCGGGTGGGCAGGCTTGCTGCCTTGTGTCCAGTCTTTCTGTAACTCCAGGTCATTGGGTTTTGCACACGCCCTGCACAGACCCAACCTCATTAATAACAAAGAAACCCCTGTGTGGGGGTGGGCAGAGGGGTTAGGATTCATTCCAATACATCTTTGGAGGGGCTGCAGTTTGACCCACAGTAAGGATCCTCGGCTGACCCCTCGGCCCGCAGAGGGGTTTGCTTCCCACTGCAGGGTCTGTGCCCTCCTCCGCCCGCTCTCCTGTGCCTCTCTGGGGTCCTGGCCCACCCCTGGTGGCTGGCAGGGCTTCTCACCCCTCTCATCTGGTCTCTTCCCTAGAACTTCTCTGGAGACCTGGGTGCGAGAGTGGCCCTGCACGAACTGTACAAATATATCAACAAATACTACGACCAGGTAGGCAGGACCCTGGGCCTGGATTAGACGGTTGAGGGAGACTGACCTCTGGTTCAGGGTGGGGCACCTTGGGGGTCACCCCCAGGCATGGAGTAGGGAAGGCAGAACCCTTTGGTGGTTTGGGGGTGCGTGTGTCCTTGAGACATGCTCCTGGTGTTGGCTATGTTCACACTTGTTGCACACTCAGCGGGCCCCTGGGTGTGATGGTGCTGATGGTGTGTGTGTGCGCGCGCTCGTGATGTGGGCAGGCGGGCCAGGGACCACTGAGGAGCCTGGGGTGGGAGTGTGCTGGGTGGGCCACACCACTGTCTGCCCTGACCTGCAGTGCCCAGCCACTCCTGGGGTTCAGGAAATCCTGGAGTGCATGCTGCCAGAGGGGAGCCCCTGGGTGGTGGCTCTCAGGCTGGCCTAAGAGCAGCACTGGAAGAGCCAGAAGCGAGACAGGGAAGTAGGGTTGTCAGCAGGCTTCCTGGCTGAGCCTGAGAATCCTCAGAACCTTCTATGGTTTGGCCAGACTGACCCCTTCCTTCTCCCTGGGGAGGCCCTGAGCGGGGGTCAGTGCAGTGCGGTGGAACACAGGTGGAGCACAGGCGCTCTGGAAGTGCCACAGTGTCTGCTCTCACCCGGGGCACCTGGAGAGCTCTCCCCAGCGGGGCTGGCGTCTGTGTTTCAGATCATCACGGCCCTGGAGGAGGACGGTACCGCCCAGAAGATGCAGCTGGGCTACCGGCTGCAGCAGATCGCAGCTGCGGTGGAAAACAAGGTCACAGACCTGTAGGACGTGGGAGCCGTGGGGGGAGACACCACCTCCTTCTTAGATGCTGTAGTGAATGACAAGCAGGTTTAGCGGAAGGGGGGCTCCCAGCCCCCCGATGTCTCTGGCCTGGGCACCGTGGGACCCATTCCCACAGGCTTGGGGTCCAGAGGCTCGTGGGGTGGCACCCAGCCTGAGCCAAGTGGCCCCGTGGACGACTTCCTATGGCATGCCCAACTGCAGAGAGTCGAGGACCAGGGAGTGGCCAGAAGGGGAGGCCATATTGCACCTGGACACTGGCCTTTACCCAGTGGGTTTCAGAGAGGATGAGGAGCCCCCCTCAACCCCTGCTCCATCATCCTCGACCCGAGTATAGCCGCCTCTGGCCTTGCTGCTGCTGCCGCCGCCGCCGCCACCATGGTCCTCAGCCCGAGATGGACACCTTCCTCCGGACCTCCTGCCTCACAGGCAGCCGGAGGTGAAGGGCATCTGCCACAGGGGCCCTTGGGGAGAGGGCGGCCTCTGACCAGGGCTCCATTAAAGGATAACACGCTACTCGGAGTCAGGCTCTGATGTGTGGTGCTCACCGTCCCCTGCCTGGCAGGCTCCAGAGGGAGGTTAGCGGTGTCCGCACCTCGGGCAGGGCTCACGGACCCCAGGCACTACCCCGGGCGGCAGGCCTGTGGCCTGAGAGCTCTTAAAGGCAGTAAAGAGCCCAGGGCAGCGTTGGGAGGCCTGCCACCTGAGGGTGGCGGTGGAGGGAGGTGGTCTGCCACCTCACAGGGGGCTTGCCTGATCGGCACTTGGGAGTCCCTACTGTCCTGGTTATATCCCACTAGTCTGGCTGGGCAGGATGACGTCACTCTAGGAAGCTCCAGGCAGAGTGGGTCTCAGGGGCCCTTGTTCTCTTTTGAAACTTTCTGTTGTGAGTGAAGTGAAGGTGTGCAGAGCAGGCCGTAGTTGGACCATTCACACGGTGGTTGAACTAGCCCGTGGCCGGCCCCTCAGAGAACCTCGGCTTATCTGCCTCCCTCCACGAGGGCCCTGTGTCCATCCCTCCTCTCCGAACTCCCTCCACCCTCTCCTTCACGTGCATGACCATTCTAACAGGCAGGGGACTTCCGGCACAGCCCAGCCTCCCAAGGGAAAGGTCCGTTGTCTCGGCGGTCCCAGCAGCCTCTCTCCAGCCAGTAAACATGGGCTCATATCTTGGGGAACCCCTTTCACGGTCCTGTTCCTGGGCTGCCACCACCCCTGCTCCCTGGGACCTTTTTTTGACGGGACAACCACATGAGAGCATCTTGGGGTGGGAGAGGCTTCCAACTCAACTGCCTGCCTGGGGTGGGGTTTGAGGACATCGTAGCTGTTGGGGGGCTGAGGGGGTGGGCTCCAAGCCGGCCTCTGCTGGATCCCCGGGGTGGGAGGTTGATATTCCTGAGGTGTATGGAATCCCTATCTCCGCCCTCATCGCTGGCTTCTAGCCTCCCTCCCTTGCGGCACACATTCCCCCTGCCAGCTCAGGGGAAGGGGTCTTGGTTGAGGGCTTGAGGAGACAGAGGCTGGTGGGATTCCAGGAGTCACTTTTCCTGCCTCCTTACTCCCTAAGCACTCCCCTGCCATTGAGCCAGTGCCTTCTCACAGCGCCCCTGTGGGTGTCCAAGACTAGCTGTTCTCGGGAGTAGAGAGCCCCGTCTGGTAGTTTAGAACTGGGGATCGCAGCCCAACCCCAACGTGTGACTGACCACCACGCCGCCAGCGCTCTGTGCCGAGAGCTCGTCCCTGAGAGCAGGAGCCATGCTGGCCTTGCTTTGCCAGGCGGCGTGGTGCTACTTTAAATTGGTCCCAGTGTTTCTCCTCCTCCGTGTCTGCCCCATGTCAATCACCCAGGAGTCTGTCACAGCCAGAGACAGGCCCACAGCAAGGTGGCATCCGATTGGGAGCAGGTGAGCTTCCGTCCAGCCAGAAGGTCTTTGTCGGCTTGGCAAATGGAAACTTGGTTGCTGTGATGAGAGCACTTTACGCTTTCCGGTGTCTGCCTTTGAGCAGCTGTTCCCGGTCCCGGAGCTTTCTGGCCCTTCTGAGCTCCAGGAGGCCCAGCCTTCTGACCTGCAGCCGCGTGAAGGCAGTAAGAAGCTCAGGGCAGCGTTGGGGGGCCTGCCACCTCACAGGGGGCTTGTCCTATCTGCACTTGTGTCTCAGCTTCCCTGGTTGCATTCCACTTGTCTGGCTGGGCAGGGGCCTTCTGTTCCAGAAGGTTCTCATAGTCACTTGGAATGGCTCCGACCCTTGCTGCTTGGTAGCCCCTGGCAGCAAGGCCAACACAGCAAGCAGACAGCGAGAGAACAGGCCGCTTTTGTCAACACCACAGGGCCCACGACAACCTGTGTGTCTGCTCCAGGCTCGGGCTTATTGGTCTAGGGAGGTGTGTCACTGGGCCGGGTGAGGGCCCTGGAGGGAGGTACACCCCTGCATGTGTGGGTGTGAACATGTCAGGTGAGTGCAGCACAGGCCCTAAGTCACTGTGTCTCACCCCTCACGGGTCACTGTCAGAACTAAAGCTATGGAGGGAAAAAATTCCCACAGTAAGGCAGGAAGTGCCAAGTCTTCCCTGGAAACATGGGATCGGATGGGGTTGGAGATGCCAACAGGATGGGGATTGGTGGTTTCTCACCTGGTCTTGTGCCCACGGTCAGTGTGGGACACTGGCCGTCCTGTTGGACCAATCTTCTCTTTTCTCATCAAGATCACAACGTGTGCCTTTCATGAGCACACATGCCCGCTCCCTTAGCAAGGGCCTCTGCTCCCAGTTATCGTGGGGGACCCTTTGGGGAGCTTCTGCGGTGGTTTTCTTGATGATTAAGAGAACGCCCACCGACTTAAGCCTAGGGCCTGTGGTCCACGTGGTTAGAGGAGCTAGGCAGGTCACGTTTTTTACTCCTGACATGTTTGGATGTGGGAAGAGTCGGGTGCTAACCCGTGGCCCACCTGAGTCTGAGCTGATCCTCTTGGAAATGAGCCTGCTTGTGGGCTGGCCACCAGAGCACTTGGCTGGGATGGCTTTCAGCTGTGCTGGACCAGCACGGACGGCCGCTGACGCCTGGCTTCATGTCCCTCCCACTGCCCAGCCTCTCTCGGCAACAAGAGGACACACACTGAACCATCAAATCCAGCCCCGGGGCAGTCTGGCTGGCGGTGTCTCTGGGAGGTCCCTCTGTGAGTGTCCCATCTCAAATCCAAGACAACCCTAAGCTCAGGGTGTTTGGGAGAGAGTTTATCACGTGACTGGGACAGGGGACTGTGTTGGCCTCATCTGGCTGGGTGCTTAACCTCGGCGCAGAACCAGAGCGGTGTCGGCCCCGCGTCAGGAGCCGGTCCATCCAGACGCCCCGGCCACTGGTGAGTGTGGCGTTGGGACAGAGCTGCCCTCTCCTGGCCGCTGTGGAGAAGGGCATCAGACGCACAAATGTCTCCTCGTCGGCAGCGGCGCTTCAGACAATCGGAATGGGCAGTGGTTCTAAAGGAGCAGGTCATCTCAGTTGTCACCTGCTGGGTTTAGACTTGCGATAACAGCCGTGAGCGACTGTCAGGCATTTCAAACACGGCAGAGACGTGAACACAAAGGACTGGTTGCAGAAGAGAGCAAGGGGCCACGCAGTTACCCAGACTAGTGACTATGGAAGCGTCTGTCACCCCTCGCCTGGCAGAACAGGCGAGGGGAGGGGGTCCCTCTGCAGCCCGGGAAAGCCATGGGGACCAGGAGCCACAGGAGCACATCGCTGCTGAGAGCCACTCACTGCCTCTGAGCCTCCTGGGTTCAACCATTTTCCCTGAAACCTTCCCCCTGCCCTGCAGGCCCAGGGAGGGAGGGGGAGCACTGCCTGCTCTGGGAGGCAGGAGACCAGGATCCCCGTGTCTCCTGCCCTGAACTGCTGTGTGGCTTGGGGTCGGGGCCCTCTGGGGAGAAGGACAGAGATATCCTGGTATCTGGCAGGAGTGCTGTTTTGTAGGCGTGGGTCCCAAGCTGGCACCTGGCAGGCTTTAATGAGGAAATGAAATGCTCATTAAATGTTAGATTGGCCCAGGTCCTGGAAGGAAACAGAGTTTAATGAGGTGGCGTCCTACAGAGCTGGGCCTCTGGGAAGGTAACCAGGCGTGGAGAAGGCCGGCTGCCACAGCTTTCAGCCTCAAGGGGCTGGGACAGACTGCTGTGCCGGAAGGAGACCTTAGGAGGAGGGCTGTGGGGGCAGGGAGGATGGGGGAGAGGCACAGTGTCTGGACTTCTCTGTCCGCACTTCCCAGGGCAGGGGGCCTGGCTGGTGCAGACCAGGGGTCAGCTCCCAGACCCAGCAGGGCGGAAGGTCCTCAACAGGCCTGGAAGGCACAACCAGCAGGAGCTCTTTACGGTCCTTTGCACATTGCAGGTGGGTGGTTCTTAGGTGCATTTTCCCCACCGCCCAGGTCCGGATGCTCCTTGGCAGGTGTTGCGGGCACCTGAGGGACCTCAGAGCCCAGGCTTGTGTGTTTAGGCTTCAATTCTGAGCATGTGTGCACAAGGCGACAGTTTACAATGGGATCGCCAACGCCACCTTGACGCTCCATGTAAATGGAGCTGCCTTGAGTTCGTTCTAGACTATTGACAATGTAAAAAGCCTTACTCTCCTCGGGCGGTGTTTGAAAGTGGATGCTTAGACGTCCCTGGCCAGCAAGGGATGCGTCTGGGCACGCCCTGGATGGAAACTAGGTGCTAGGGACTCATGGCCTTCAGGCAGGAGGCCCAGGTGGATGGAGGGGCACAGAACCAACCTGTGACCTTTTCAAACCCATCACAGTGCACAGGCCCCAAGGTGTAAATGGATCTGCGGCCAATCACTGTTTGGTGGCAGTGTCCTTTGCCTGTCCCGTGTTTTATAATTTAGCCTCCTGGCTTCGACACCTTAGACACTCTTAGGGCCTCACGCACCTTCATCCAGATAACAGTCTTTGTCCTGTTGCAGACTTGATAAGGGAGGGTCTATAACATATATTTGAATTTGGGGTCTTCTCCCTCCTGACTCATTTGAGAACTAATTTGGTCTCCTGACCCTCTCCGGGTGGGATGCAGGGTATGTGAGTAGGGCCCACAGAATATGAGGAGCTGCAGATGGTGAAAGGCCTGGCACCTTAGGGCAGAAGGAGGGGAGGGGTGAGCGGTCTAGCTGTATTTCCCACCCAGCTGAAATGTATGTGGGCACTGCTACACCAGTGCCCAGAGGTGTCTTCTCACCGCGGATGCAGACACCATGTGTGCGTGTGTATGTGTGTGTGTCAGAGGCTGTGGATTGAGGAAGGATGCCCTGGTGGAAAGCCCAGGAGTTGGAGCTCGAGAATTGGACTGTGGCCTGGGCCCTGTCACTGGCCACCTTGGGACAGTGTTGTGTGCTAGCGCTTTTAGAAGGCTTATAGACACTGTAAGAAATGTCACTAGGCTGGCCCATCGTCAGCAAACAGAACCAAGAATCAGGTGGTTACTAAAAAAAAAAAACTAGGGCAACAATTGGTAACTGTCGGAATAGTCA